TTAATCGACTTAAGTAGCTCATCCTAACTTCTGCATTCGTTGTCTGTATAGTATCTTTTCATGGTACTTTATCCCAGCATCCAAGTAATTGGTTCATTGCTTCCCTCAGCTGGTATTTCTTGTTAGACCCAGAAGTTATTTCACATTAGTGAGGCAGATAAGAATCCATGCTGACTACTTTTCTAATCATTGATTTCCTAAAACACCTACCAATACCTTCTCTACAGAAATTAAATTTTGTAACTCTGAATCTTGAGCCTAGGAGACAAGGGATATTTATGGAATGAACAATATAACTCAATGAGGGTTTTACTTTCTGTAACTGAAGATGACATAGTAGAAAATAAAAGTATTTTAAATCTCCTCTGTCTCTATCAAAGAATTCAAATGTCTATTAAGAGTTAAAGGATATGAGTTCATTTTATATTTGCATAAAAATAATAATTTTAACCTTTTTAGAAAAGTATCCCTTAACAAAATAAATAATTAAAAATGACTTTTTCCCCACCTCAGTACTGGGGATCTAACTCAGGGCTTTGCACTTGTAAGACAGGTGTGATACCACTGAGCTAAATCCCCAGCCCTGTGTAAGGGCTGGGGATTTAGCTCAGTGATGCCGACATCCACCTTGCAAGCACAAGAACCTGAGCCTTGGTACCAAAAAAAAAAAAAAAAGGATTGTGAGCTAATAACTAACTTTCATGGACATACCACTGCATGATTTTTGTTTTGTTTTGTTTTCTGGTACTAGGAATCAAATTCAGGACCATGCCAGGCAGGCATGGCGCCACTGAGCTAAATCCCTGGCTAGGATTGATACACTTTCTTAATATTTCCAGTAGGTCATAAGTCATTTAAAGTAAAATTTTATAGTATGCTTCAGTGGATCCAAAGCACTGTTATCAAATGATGTATTTTTGGTGTTTATATACCACCAGGAAGTAAAACAACTGCCAATTAAACTATAACATAATGTTTAAAAAAAAGACTCTAATGATAGCACACACCTGGAATCCCAGCCCTCTGGGAAGCCGAGGCAAGAAGATCACAGTTTGAGCCCAGCCTGGACAATTTAGTGACTGAAAGAGAGCCTGTCTTAAAATAGAATTTAAAAGGGCAGTGCCAAGGCCCTGGGTTCAATCCTGGGTTTGGGGTGAAGTGGCAAGAAAAAAATTTTTACTTACAGTAGTGAAAAATCTCAGGTCAAAACTCATAGAACTGTACTCCAAAATGGATGAGTTTTATAAATTTAAATTATGCCTTAATTTTTTTAAATGGGAGGAAGATGTAAACAGAAACATATTCTGCACCTTAAAAAGCCTAGTAGAATACCAAAATAAGAAGGTTCTATAAGAATTTCACAGAGTATGATGCAGATCCTATCTCTAGCGGTTTTATTATTTATTCCATTTTGGGGTTTTTTATAATAAATTTTATTTTATCCCATTCCCTCTCCCTATGTACAAAAGCTTTGTTTCCATTTTTCCTTCTATTTTCCTTTTTTCTTGTCCCTTCCTTCTTTAGGCAGAATAGTACTGCACTGTTAAAAAAAAAAAAAAAAGCAAAAACACTCATCCGTTGATGGGCATTTAGGCTGTTTTTGCAAGTTTTAACTATTACATTAGCTATGAATATGGGTGTGCATATATCAGTGTGGTATGATTCTCTTAATTCTTTTGGGAAGGGGAATACCTGGCTCAAATGGGACCTCTAACCCTAGTTCTTTGAGGTGTCTCCATACTGATTTCCACAGTGGTTGCACCAGTCTGCACTCCCACCAGCAGTGGAGCAGGGTTCCTTTTCCCCCACAGCCCCTCCAGTTTTATTTGTTTTTGTTAGCACCAAGGATAGAATTTGGGACCTTGCACTTGTGAGGCAGGCAGCAGAAACACTGAGCTAAACTCAGGCCCCATTCCTCCAGCATTTCTTACTGATTGATTTCTTGATAGCAGCCATTCTTTCTGGAGTGAGATGGAATCTCAGCATTTTTTTTTTCTTTTTTGGTACCAGGGATTGAATTTGGGTTCAGCACTGTTTTCGTTTTCATTTCTTGAATGACCAGTGATGTTGAGCATTTTTTCATATATTTATTTGAGAGAAGGTCTCAACATATATTCCAGGCTGGCCTGGAACTCAGGGCAGTCCTTCTGCCTCAGCCTCGCAGGTGCTGAGATTTGGGCATGCATCACCACACCCAGCTCCAAGGGCTTAACATTTGACTGTTTAATTGTTTTGTCAATTTTTTTTGTTCTGTTTTTTGTACCAGGCATCAAACTCAGATCCTTGCGCTTGTGAGGCAGGTGGCAGCAACATAGAGCTAAATCCCTGGCCTGTAACACTGACTGTTTAATTGTGGGAACATTTTTTTTTTTAGGAAAAAACAAGAATATATGAACACCAGCTTAGAGTTGAATGTTTTGAAAGTAGATTAAACTTTTGGATGAACCAATGGAATGAAAACAAGGATAATTTTTGTTTGTTTGTTTGAGACAGGGTCTCACTGTGTAGTTGAGACTGACCTGCAACTCACTAGGTAGCTCAGGCTGGACTCAAACTCACAGCGATCCTCCTGCCTCAGCCTCCCAAGTGCTGGGATTACAGGCGTGCACCACCATGCCCAGCAGGATAAATTTTTTAAAGATTATTTACTGTCTACTAAAACATAATGGGTAAAAAGGCCCAGTGAATAAACCCACAGAGCTCCGGGCAAATGCAGATGTGGGTCTCTGAAAATATAAAAGCAACACCACAGAAAGTGCGAATTTGTATGCATCTGTGTTGTCATTTGAAAGCAGGGCCCAGCAGAAAACTCTGCACATAGTAAGACTTCTATGAATTTATTGAGGTGACGGACATTTAACTTCTTAGCCCCGTTATCCTATTATTAATGAGTTGTTCCTAACCTGTTTTCTGTTTGTCTTGGATTTTTCAAATAAACTTGTTATTTTTGGAATACTTTTACATGTACAAAAAAAAAATTAGAAAAGCCCAGCATGGTGGCACACCCCTATAATTCCACCTACTCGGGAGGCTGAGGCAGGACAAAGTTCTAGGCCAGCCTAGGCAATATAGTGACTTAGTGAGACCTTGTCTCAAAATAAAAATGAAAAAGGACTGGGATGTAGCTCGGTACAAAAGCTCTGAGTTCAATTCCCAGTACTAAAAAAGGTAAAAATAAAGACAATGCAGGGTTCCCCTACATATCTAACCCAGTTTCCCCCAGCAAGGACCCATCAGTCTGCCAGACTATCCCGATTTAGGTCTACAAGTCCCACATCCGAAGAACCCCTCTCCCACACCAGCCCTTAGGGCCTGTTGCCCTAGTACTGTTCGCGTCTTACCTTACCCTCATGCATAGGTCAAAGCCAGGACACTAGGGCTGGGGATTTAGCTCAAGGTCTTGAGTTCGATCTCCAGTACGGGGGTGGGGGTGGGAAGACACTACCAATGCATGACTACTAGCTGCCCAACCTGCTGTGGACCTCACCAGTTTCTCCACTGATGTCATTTATCTGTTAGGGGGTCTCCTTTAGGATGCCACAGTCACTGTGTTTAGGCCACCTGTCTTAGGAATCTCTGGCCTGTTTCTCCCTTTTTCCTTGTTTCTCATAACCTTCATTCTTTTAAGACTACTGGTATTTTGTGGAAGATGCCTCCATTTGGGTTCATTTGATGTTTTCCTCATATTTAGATTGTGTCATGGACCTTGGGGCCCTAATTTATCTTTAAACTCTGCAAATGTCAGTGCTTATTTTCATGGTTGCATTAACCATTATGAATTTGAAATTCCACAGAATATCATTTAAGTAAAAGGGAATAAATTAAATCAAACAACCAAAACCATACAATAAGTCAGAGTGAATTGTCTGATTCTAAATATAGTACTCATATTACTAATGCAAAAAGATCAAAATCAAAGGAGGTAATGATGGCAGCAACAGGGGCAAAAAAAAGTTCAAAATCACAATTTTGAGCCAGCTATAGTGGTGCATGCCTACAAACCCAGCATTGGGGAGGCTGAGGCAGGGAGTACAACAAGTTTGAGTCCAGCCTGAGCTACATAATGAGAACTTGTCTCAAAAAATAAAAAATCACAATTGCTTCAAATTTTTAAAAATTTTAAACTTGGAAGATGCCCCAGTACTTTGCAGCAGCAAGACTTTAGTCTTTTTTCTATATATTCATCTTTTGGTAAAAATTAGATTTCTATTATATGCTATTTTTAATCAACTTTAAATTAATACATTAATATAATTTAATATATTAAACATCTGAGTTTTTTTTTTAAGACAAGGGCTTACTATGTAGCCCAGGCTGGCCTTGAACTCATAGCAATCCTCTTGCCTCAGCCTCCCAAATGCTGGGATTACAGGTGTGTACCACTATGCCTGGATTGTTTTGCTACTTAAATGAAAATATTTAAGACAGCAAAAGCTTCACATTAAATAAAAAATATGCAAATAGAAAAGGAAAATTTGAGGCAAGATGCTGGCCTGGCCTGGTTCATATTTGGTAGACATATTTTGCTTCTTTTTTTTTTTTAATTTACCAAAACTGTATATACTGAATGATACAATGTTGTGTTTTTGTTGTGTGCAGTGCTGGGGATAAAACCTAGGGTCTCCTGCATGCTAGGCAAGCACTCTACCACTGAGCTATGCTCTCAGACCCAAGATACTGGTTGGTTTGGTTTGGAGTTTTTTGTTTGTTTGTTTTTGTTTTGTTTTGAGACAGGGTCTCACTCTGTAAGTCAGGATGGCCTGGAACTCACTATGTAACCCAGGCTGGCCTAGAACTTGCAGTGATCCTCCTGCCTCAGCCTCCGGAGTATTACAGGCTGGCCCACCACACCCAGTGACATCTGTCTTTTTAAGGCGGAGTGGTTTTGCCCCGTGTTCAGATGAACCAGCTTTTCTTTATGCCTTCTTTGGTCGACAGACACTGAAGTTGCTTCCATATCTGGGCCACAGTGAACTCAGGAGTGCGGGTGTCCCTCTGACACTGGCTTCCTTTTCACTGGCTATGCAGTAGTGCAGTTGCTGGATCATGTGCTGTGGCTTGAATGTCACCTCCTGGAAGTTAATTGCCATTGTACCGGTATTAAGAGGTGATTAGAATTAATGCCATTATTGTGGGAGTGAATTTATTACTGCAAAAGGGGGTTTCTGATCCAAAGGATAAGTTTGGCTTAATTTTCTGTATGTCTTTGAGGCCTTGTTTATTCTTCTGCTAGGATATGACATCCAAGCAGGTCCTCACTAAGCCAGGTGTGGTGGCAAACAGCTATAATCCCGGCATTCAGGAGACTGAGGCAGGAGAATTGCCATGGGTTTAAGATCAGCCAAAACTACATACTGCCACACACACACACACACACACACACACACACACAAAAGGTCATCCCCTCACTAGGTGCTAGTGCCATTCTCTCAAAATTCTCAGCCTCCAGAACTGTAAACCCAATAACCCTTTATTGTTTATGAATTACCCAGCCTGTAGCATTGTATTAGAGCAACAGGAAAATGGCCCAAAGAAGCAACACGGTAGTTTTTGTTTGTCTGTTTGTTTCTTTGCAATACTGGGGATAGAACCCAGGGCCTTTGTAATTAGCTACATCTCAACCCTTCTTTTTATTTTTTTATTGTGAGATGGGGGGCCTCACTAAGTTGCTAAATTGTCCAGGATAGGCTTGAACTTGTGACTTTCCTGCCTCAGCCTCTCAGACTGCTGGGATTATGGGCATGTGTCAATATGCTTAGCTCTATTTTTAATTTTCTAAGGATCTTCAGTACTGTTTTCCATAAGGGCTGTACTAATCTACAATCCACCAACAGCATGCAAGGGTTCCTTTTCCTCTACATCTTCGCCAACATGTCTTCTATCTCTGATCATAGCCATCCTAACAGATGTAAGCATAGTTTGATTTTGTATAGTGAATCAAGGGAATCAGGATGGCGCCTTCCCCATACAGTCCCTGGAGCATTTCTCTGTCACAAACCCACCATTCACAGTTTATTTCTGAAGAGCCTGACCCAATACCCAGCCAGAAGAGGTGAGAAACTGTTAGCAGTAAGAGATTTCCAGGGAGGTACTGAGGTCTGTGCAAAGGGTGTTGCTGCTAAGTCTGCAGCATGCAGATTTTCTTCTGGCAGCACGGGGCTATCTTCAGATCTGCCTGATTGCCCTTTGCTGGTGAGAAAAGGGCCTTAGTGGCCTTGATTCCAGTGAGAATGGCCAGGAGAGGTGCTGTGCCCTGTGTGTCTCCTGGGTCTCCCAGTTTGGGCCTCAGAGAGGTACCCCATTGATGTTTAAAGGTGAAAGACTGGCCAGGTGTGATGGTGCACACCTGTAATCCCAGCACTCAGGAGGCTGAGGGAGGAGGATCGCTGTGAGTTCGAGACCAGCCTAGGCTACATAGTGAGTTCCAGCTCAGACTCAACTACATAGTGAGACCCTGTCTCAAAAAACCAAAAGAAAGAAAGGAAGGAAGGAAGGGAAAGTGGCTTTCATACAGACCTAGTCACTACTCCTAGAAGCTGTTCCACTCCTGCAGACACACGCCTGAGCAACCCCTCACAAGCATAGAGCACAGTCCGCGCCCAGCCAGTGACCCCAGGCCGCACCTCGAACTGCCCGCAGGGGCTGTGGGGAATTGTTCCCCGCAGCTTTTCCAACTGCCTGCTCTCTGGAGTTTCCTTGCGGGCGACCCGTTTTGCCCTCCCACCTTCACATTGCCGTGGCACGGTCACGTAGAGCGGAGTGGCAGGGCTATCCCGGCTGGCGCTGAGGCTGGGCTCCCGGACAGGGCGCAGACCCATCCGGGAGCGTCTGGGGGGTCTGCGGGAGTCTGTGCAAAGGACAGAGGTGATGCCCAGAAAATGACATCCTGAGGCACTGGGGGCAGGGGACAGTCACAGTGGCGGAGTTGCCAATGGAAATTATTTTCCCCATTTAGTTTATTGGCACATTTAAAGCAAACAATATAGTTACATTTATCATTGGGATCTTGTACCTTTACATGGTATGTCTTGGTTGGAATTTTGTTGTTGTTGCTGTTATTGTTTTTTTGAGACAGGGTCTCACTATGTAGTTCAGACTGCTCTGAAACTCACTGTGCAGCTCAGGCTGGTCTCAAACTCACAGCAATCCTCCTGCCTCAGCCTCCTGAATGCTGGGATTACAGGCGTGTGCCACCATGCCTGGCTTTTGGTTGGAAATTTTTTTTTTCAGCTTTAATTGAGTTTATTGGTACATTTTAGGGATACAGTACAGTTACATTCATTGTTGGGATCTTGTACCTCTACATGACAAGTCTTGATTCTCATTTTTTCCCCTTACCTCTGCCCTCCCTTCCCCCCCTCCTCCCCTCCCCATCTACAAACACTTTATTTTCATCTTTTCATTCTCTCACGTTTTTTTCTTTTCCCTTTTTACTCTTCCCCTACCCATCCCACCTTCCCTACACTTTTAGCTCCTTTCTTCCCATTTCTAAATGTCAGTAATCTTATTAGAATCTTATGCATTGTTGCAGATTATTTACACCAGGGAAACTATTCAGTATTTACACATGTGTGACTTATTTATTTCACTTAGGAGTATATCTTCAATATGTATCCATTTTCCTATGAATGAATCTATTTTCTCGTTCTTTATGGCTGAGTAATATTCCATTTTATAGAAAAACCACAACTTCTTTATCCAGTTTCCAACGGATGGGCAAATGGGCTGTTTCCAAGATTTAGCTATTACAAACTGTGCTGCTATAAACATGGATGCACATATTTCTCTGTGATATGATTCTTTTAGTTCTCTTGGAAAGATACCCAGCAGAGGGATGGCTGGGTCAAATGGAACCTCCAGTCCCAGCTCTTTGAGGTATCTCCATATTGATTTCCATAGTGGTTGCACCAGTCTGCACTCCCACCAACAATGGAGAAGGGTTCCTTTCTCCCCACAACCCCGCCAACATTTGTTATTGTGTGATTTCTTGATAGCAGCCATTCTTTGTGGGGTGAGGTGGAAATTTTTTAAATAAGGGCTCCCGGCAGAAGTACATCACTCACTTTGGCCCTGTGCTTGAGTGAGTGTGTGTGTGTGTGTGTAAATACAGGCGCACAACACAACACGCACTGCTTCAGCACTAAAGCTGGGCCTTACAGCCCTGCAGATCAGCCCACAGCAGTGCTTCTGGTTCTAAAGCTCCCAGAGTTCTCACAGGCTGGCTCCGCAAGCTTGCTAGGTGGCTCTAAATATCAATAGTTTCTGTCCTTCGGGGGCTGCTTGCAGCAGAATTCTTCCCCCTAAACACACACACACACACACACACACACACACACTCTCTCTCTCTCTGTCTCTCTGGCCATTCTGCAACAGGGTCTTGCTGTGAAATTCAGGCTGGACTTGAACTCACTATGTAGCCCAGATTGGCCTCGAACTTGCAGCAATCTTCCTGCCTCACCCTCCCAAATGCTGGGATAATGGGTGAGCTCCACAACTCTCCACTAGGAATCCTTAGCTTAGGGACCATGGCCCCCTGGGAGTCCAACCATAGGTGAGGAGTCTGTGTGCTCCTAAAAACTGCACATGACTCATTGAGTATATGTGTTGATTTTTCTGGAAAGAGGTTCTGTAAGTTTCATCAGGTTCTCAAAAGAGGATGTGATCCTCAAAAAGTTAAGGGCTCTTGCCCCAGTAACTGCTAACAGCATACTGTACTGGAGTGGGAACAGATTGTGTAAGATTCTGAAAATGCTACTATGCCAAATACTGGCCAGGAAAATGCAGCCTTTTTGTGTGTGTTTTTGTTTTTTTTCAGTTCATGTGACTTATTTTTACCTCAAGGCATCCGTAACCTGGAAAAACCCTGGTTATGTGGAAACGTTGATGTCCCACTCCATGCCTCAAGCCCATCTCACTTATGTCCACCTCCTCCCCGGCCGAAGTCGTTGCTCCCTCACCTGGACCGCCACTCTTTACCTTGTATTCAGATATGTCCTCACATCCACCTCTTCCATCTTCTTCCTGTCACAATGTCCAACATAGCACATTTATTTGATTATCCCTGGAACAAACAAATCATAAATCCATTAGGTCTCCTAGACCCTTTTCACTGTCTCTACTAAAAATGACTAATCCGATTTTCTATACACTATGCATTTTAAATATGTTCCTCCTAACTTGTATTGTCCTAGGCGTTTGATTTACTTAATTATCCCATATTTGCCTGTCTCATCAGTTTGCTTGGTTGTGAGCTGCTTAGAGGGCAAAGATTCCATAGAAACCCAAGTTGTGGAGCCCCACAAACCTCTCGGGAAGGGTTCCCGGCTCCCCCAGTGCGCCCACCTGTCCTTGTGTGCATCCCAGCCACACAGGCACAGACAGAATGGAGGTTGGTAGGAGTGGGAAATGAAAGAAAGAAAAGAAAGGCAGCTATTAATGCAGGAATTAAGCAAAGCAGCCAAATCGGCGGGTTATAAGCCAGAGAGGGAGAAGCCTGAACCTGCCCCAGAAGCAAGAAGGCTGCCGGGTGATCAGAAATGGGCGGTGCCTGAAGGTGGTTCCGAGCTCTGGATCCATCAGGCCCAGTACAGACCATGCAAGAGCAGCCGATTTCTTCCTCTTTTTTTCTAACCTGATTATGGCATTTGGTTTGTTCCATATTTGTGTCAGGTTTTTCTTGTGTTCAAAAACTCCTGACTGCAGTTATTATATGTAAAGTGGTGGCAATGAAATTGATTTCCATAGTCTGTTTCCAGAGTGGAACACAGGCAGAGTATTTGTGAGTGGACCTGAGCGCATTCCTGATTGTCACAGAGTGGCACCATGGAGACTTGGCGACTTTCCCCACTTTTTCTCTTTTTCTTCTCCGTTTAATACTGTTTTTACTTATTTACACATCCACCCACATCAATGCATGCTTAGCTCCATACAGTCTAAGCTGCCATCTGATTGTTATCGTGTATTAAGTGCCCATTACAACTTAATGACTGAATTGTATTAAAGAGTGAGGATCTAGGAATATTGATTAACTCTTAATGGGTAGAACGTCAGTGTCAGACTTAACCACTCCACAGGCCTGCTCAAACTAGGG